AGCCATGCGAGCGTGAATTTAAGAGGGAAGAAGCCATTGTAGAAAAAAAGAATCATTATACGTTGCTGGGAAACTGCCCACCTACCCCTCCCCTAAGCCAACATTAACACTTACTTCTCACTTAGGGGAGGTGTAGGTGGGCAGTAATTATCAGCACTTCATACGGAGCCTTAACCGTGGTATCTTATGAAAGATAAAACTTTAACCACTCTAAAGGTATTTTTTTTCAGAGATAGGTTTAAGTGTTTGATATGTCCAGGGGGAGGTTAAAATGCTGTTCCCTTTGCTCCTGGAAGTTGCCGAAAATTCAAACAGGGCATTTTGGTTGAATGGACACTAGGATAATAGTAGAGCTAAAAATTAACAGCTGGTAAATTAAAAATCTCTTATAAAAAGAGTGAAGTTGTTCTGCATTTTAATGATAGTAATATTTAAAATTTGATGAGAAATAAATTTATTTGGCAAAACCTTGAAAAGATGTAGCCCCCCTCACTTTTTAAGTGAAGGTGTAATGTCAAATCCCAGATCAAAGGCCAGAAAGTTATATAAATTTTTTTTTTTTTTTATTAGAGTTACATGCTCTAACATTAATTTACCAACTGTAAGACCTTGGGTGAGAATGCTAGATCGAGTAAAGGGTGGTGGCTCTTGCGTTGTAGTCAAGAGGCGTGCCTTAGATCGTGACAATAAGGAAGGACCTGCCTTTGGGCAGAACATACACACACACTTTTCCAGACATCCAAAAGGTTAACCATACTAATATATATGTTGTAGTTAATTTTTTATTTCAGTTAATTTTTGTTTTTTCTTTGTTTCAAATTAATTAGCATAATTCTGAGCATACATTATCATACCCAAAAACGATGGAAAAATAACAATTAACTGCAACATATACATGACTGGCTCCTTGACGTATCACTGCCTTTTCTCTTCATCAAATTTATTATCCATTGTTTATAAAAATATATTAATATTGCATAGGATCCAATCTCAAGTGCACCTATACTGTAACATAATCATCGAAAAGTTTTCAAGAAAACAGACAGCCCCCTTCACTTTCTACTTTCTATTTACCTTGCCTCTGAATAAAGAGCATGTTTACAGGCCAGTGAATTGTGTGATGCTGTTAATACTTAAATACAGTGGCATTTGAATTTTATTATAAAACAACAACAAAATTACATGTAGGTGATGACTTTACTATTAATTTTATTACAGACTTTCATTCATTGTGATTCTTGATTACTGTAAAAGGACATCTATAAAGGATCTGGCACTGAACAGTTTCCCCTAAAGCAGATGTTTACATGTTTGTCATACCAGAAAGTCTGTTCGATTTTCACATTGCTAAAACAAATTAGAAAGTGGACTGAAATTAAAGGAAGAGAAAGTAAATGCACAGAATTTAAAATTACTGGCCAATGATTATGTATTCTAGAATGCTTATAAGCAAATAATAATTCTTTTTTATAGTTTAGGTTGCCTATCATGATTATTATAAACTGACCAAAAAAGGTTACTAGTAAGTTGTTCTCTTATCACCTCAATCAGCACTCTTTTGTTTTGTTACACCTATTAACGTTTGTTTATGTTTTTTTATGCATGAGTAAATGCATGGTTTTTGTCATGCACTATCTGGCTCAGTGTCAAGTCTTGTGTAGTGCCATGTTTATATTGAGGTTAAGCCTATGATGTCATCAGGGCTACTCTTCAAGCAGAGGTTTATCTCTTGCATGGCTTTTAGCATATTTAGAAAGTCATTTGTGTCACTTGTCAGGGTATATCTGATTCGAAGAGGATTTGTATCTAAGTTCACATTATGTCCTTACTATTCTTGAGTGGGAAATAAAGAAGTGAAAAATTAATTTTGAGTTATCAGAGCGGGAGAGTTTGTTGAATAAAGTTAACACACCCAAGTGCTTGATCTAGACCTTTTTTAATAGTGATGAAGGTATGCATACCATAAAGTGGGAAAAATCAAATGAATATTTAAAAAAATCATAAAAATTATTCATGTTGTTTATAGTATTTTTTTTTTAAAGGAAGTGTTTGTTTGATTCCAATAACACCGTTGTAAAAACAAGTTTAAAGAGGTGTCTGACCTTATTGGTTTTATCCTAAGTGGAAGGAACACCACAAGCTGTTGCTTTTTTGGGGGGGTTCGAGTACATAAGAAATTGTGTTGAAAATTAATATGTTTTTTTAAAACCATGCCATAAAGCGCTTTTTCTGTGAAATTTAAAAGTTACAGACCGAGCAACAATAATTTTAAGTAAAGAAGATAAATAATGGAAAAATCACCTGACACTCTTTTTAGATTTGGCTCATATATTCACAAAAAAATTATTCAGAGTTTCTTGAATACTGTGTAAAGTAAACTTGAACTCGGATTATATTATTAAACTTCCTCATCTAATATGAAGTACAAATCTTGAAATAAACAGTGCACAACGAGAGATTGTGTGCATATTGTCACGCCAAGCCATATAAGGCAATGTGATCTATGTCAAAGGGGGCGGTGCACCACTAAAGCCTTCAAAATCCAGAGGAAACAAACTCTGACTGCAGGCTGTGGTTATTGAGAGATTATTTTTGTGAATTTACCACTGTGAGCAATGGAGCAAAAAGCTGATCTTAGCGAAGTTGCCTCGTTTGACGCTTCTAAACTTAAGCATGTTAAGACGGTGGAGAAGAACACGCTTCCATCAAGCGAAAGTAAGGCTAAGACTATCGTTGTACCATATTTTATCTGCACCACTCAAGAATTTGGCTTACTTCCTTTGAACGAAATCAAACGAATATTCGTCATTATTTCAGTTCTTCGTTACTTAACGTAGCTAAGTCAAAAAGGCTTGTTTGAGCCAAAACGTTGGCGCAAAATTTGAGCTAATCGCAAGGCTTATAATTGCAGCATTGTGGAATGGAATCAGCTGTGGTATAGTTTGCTTCTTATGCACCTCTATGAAACGCTTTTGTTTTCATGATGGGAGCTGATTACTAATGATGTTGTTTTTTCGTAGCTGTGAAGCAAGAATTACAACCAGATGAGTTCCCCGATAGATCTGAGGTGAAAAGTTTTGACACCTCCAAGCTCAAGAAGACGCACACCGAAGAGAAGAACCCCTTACCTTCAAAAGAAAGTACGATTATTCGTTTTCTAACCGCTAATGTAGTATTGTTTATTTCAGTTTCAATTAGAATTGACACGAAAATGTTTTGTTAAGCTTCTTTCCCTATCATTGCAAGCTTAATTTATTATTCACCCAATATTTTGTTATTTCGATCTTCAGCAATTGCTGAAGAACATCGGACTGCGCCATTTTCTGGAGTGGAAGTTTTCAACAAGAATTTGCTGAAGCACGTGGAAACTGAGGAAAAAACCCACCTTCCGACTCCTCAAGGTTAGTTTAAACTTTCCTTCTCCTAAACCCGAAAAGGTTCCTTATTAAATGCAGCTCCTACAGCCAGATAAATATCACTTAAACCCCACTCGAGCTGTATAAAATATTAATTTTGAGGCTCGCACGTACCACTCCATGATCGTGCTGTTGTGCTTATGACCTCGGAAGACATTCAAAACATAGTTTTTCTTATGTCACGTTTAGAGGCAGTAGACAATAAGAGTTATTTTCAATGGCTGACAAAGGCTTTTCCGCTCGAAAAAATTACGTGCGATCAGTCCGCGTTTCACGTCACGATCATCACTTCCCAAACGCATTCGATTTTTAGTTGAATCTTGGCTCATGTAATTTGAGACTACAGAAAAATGTGCACGTTTTTTGACATTTTAATTTGGCTTAGTCACCGGAAATGAACATAAAAGCGAGTTTACTAGTGGGGCATGAATTCTGTCGAATAACCATTGCTAAATGTCCTACGTAAAAAAAGATATAACAAATATCCTCTTGGCTACAGAATGGTCTGTAGTCAACCACATCCTTTCCTCGCTTCCTATCTTTAAAAGTTTCCTGATCGTCAACAGCTGCATACTTTTAAGGTGTGTTTCTATTTTTTAAGCTACGAAATCTAGCTCGCTATGTCTGCAATTTGCACTGAAATGCGTCTAAGGTTTAATATGCATAATATGCTAAGTATCAGCTGCATAGCGAGAATTTGATCACTTTATCATAACAAAGACTATAAGAGTTTTGGATTCTGGAAAATTATTGTTATATTGCCTTACCAACTAAGACAATAACTTCACATTTAAATAGATTTTTTTGTTTTTATCAGTCAGATTGTAGTCCATATAAGGTCATGACAGTTAAGAATTGTGCTACATAAATTAAAATAGATAATTTGAATAGCTAAATTGTTGCTGTTTATAGGGTAACCAAGGATTATTGCTTATAGTTGTATGCTCTTCCAAACAATAGATTCCTTTTGACTGTCCTGCAAGGTCAATCAAAAGCAAATTTCTCCTTTTATATCAGAACTAAATTGATCATAAAGGTAATGAGAATTCGAAGTATAATCAGCCAAAATCTTCTTGTTATATCAATGACCTTCAAACTCTGTCCTGTGCTTGGGTCATGACAAGTATTGCATTTTTTCTAGATCTTCGTGAGGAACTGCGACCAGACAAACTACCAGATGTATCTGAAGTCGCAAGCTTTGATGCATCTAAATTGAAGCATGTTGAAACAAAGGAATCTAATGTGCTGCCCAGCAAGGAAGGTAACAATTTGTTTGCTTGGTTGTTCTGAAGATGCACATTACCTCAGATGTGTTGTACATACATTGTAATGGCTTTTTCTGTTAATTCATTACTTGAAATTACTTGAACCAGTCCATTTGCTACAACTCTTCGACCTCACTAAGTTTTGCAAGATGTTGCCCCATTGTGCTATATACAGCTTTTTCGAGAAAGGTTGTCGGAAAAAGTGCACATAACAATCCGGAAAGGTATTGTGGGTGGTTTTGAGTTCACTGTTCTTCAAAGAAATTTAAAAGAATGGCAGGAGAGGCCATGGATATATGTTTGCGAATACTAAAGGAAAGTAACAAAAGTAGGCTCGACAGCTACAGTGTCAGGATCAGTGAATTGATCGTATCCCATATTACCGTTTGGGATTGTCACGTGCACATTTTTTCCAACATTCTTTCTTGAAATAGCTGTATAATTTTTTTTAACTTCCTTAAGTTACTTGGGTATTTGTTTTTTCTAGTCTAGCCTGGTAATGCCGCATGCCCACTTTTATAGTGTGTAATAATAATAATAATAATAACAACAATAATAATGTCCATTGTTTACCCTTGGCAGTATCTTATAACACTGAAACAAATAATTCAAATTAAACTTAACAGGGTTAAGAACCCCAACTGGCCAGAGGCAAACCATTTTGCTATTTACAAGCATGGTTGAGGATTTGAACTCCGGACTACCATGAACAAATCCAGCAAGCGGTCAGATCGGGACTTGAACTCGGGGCCTCAGAATTGCAAGTCCAGTGATAATATACTTATTGATCATAACGTTACTTTTCTCTGTTAAGTTATCAGAGAGGAAGCGATCGACTCCAGAGCAGAAGTGAAGTCTTTTGACAAAAGTCACCTCAAACATGTTGAAACTGAAGAAAAACATTTTATGCCCTCTGCACAAGGTAATGATTTCAGAAATTAGAATTATTACATTACAGCTTTAATAAAGATCCTATGGTGTGACCATACAAATAAAATCTACTGAGCAGTACTTTCCTGTGGTACTGTTTATTATGCTGCACAAGGTGGTTCTAACTGTTGAGTCTGTGGATGAAATCCTATGGTGTGACCATTCAAATGAAAGCTACTGAGCAGTACTTTCCTGTGGTACTGTTTATTATGCTGTACAAGGTGGTTCTAACTTTTGAGTCAGTGGATGAAATCCTATGGTGTGACCATTCAAATGAAAGCTACTGAGCAGTACTTTCCTGTGGTACTGTTTATTATGCTGTACAAGGTGGTTCTAACTTTTGAGTCTGTGGATGAAATCCTATGGTGTGACCATTCAAATGAAAGCTACTGAGCAGTACTTTCCTGTGGTACTGTTTATTATGCTGTACAAGGTGGTTCTAACTTTTGAGTCTGTGGATGAAATCCTATGGTGTGACCATTCAAATGAAAGCTACTGAGCAGTACTTTCCTGTGGTACTGTTTATTATGCTGTACAAGGTGGTTCTAACTTTTGAGTCTGTGGATGAAATCCTATGGTGTGACCATTCAAATGAAAGCTACTGAGCAGTACTTTCCTGTGGTACTGTTTATTATGCTGTACAAGGTGGTTCTAACTTTTGAGTCTGTGGATGAAATCCTATGGTGTGACCATTCAAATGAAAGCTACTGAGCAGTACTTTCCTGTGGTACTGTTTATTATGCTGTACAAGGTGGTTCTAACTTTTGAGTCAGTGGATGAAATCCTATGGTGTGACCATTCAAATGAAAGCTACTGAGCAGTACTTTCCTGTGGTACTGTTTATTATGCTGTACAAGGTGGTTCTAACTTTTGAGTCTGTGGATGAAATCCTATGGTGTGACCATTCAAATGAAAGCTACTGAGCAGTACTTTCCTGTGGTACATCTGTTTATTATGCTGTAAGGGGTGGTTCTAACTTTTGAAGCTGCACAAAAAGCGCTTATAATAACCACTACTCTCAAATGGCCCTTTTTTCCAATATTTCCACAATGAAATTTGGAATTTGTCTTGAACATTGCTTTTCCTCGCTACTGCAAGCTGAATTGTGAACATTCTTTTCTTCCTGTAGATCTCACGGCTGATAGAATGCCACCTCCAAATAAACGTCCCGACCGTTCAGAAGTGACCAGTTTTGATCAGAGCAAACTAAATCATGTACCCACTACAGAAAAGGTTATCCTTCCTAGTAAAGAAGGTAAAACATCCTTACATCAAAATTTAAATTCTCATTTTGTTGTCTTTTTACAATTTCTGTAGCTATGGTAGGGAGAAGTTAAGTTCATTAATTTTTATTTTGTGTGATCATGTCCTTAAATTGCACTGACCACCTCTGTTTAATAAAGCATCGTTTTTGAAAGGAGAAAATTGATGCTGATCACAGCTCTTAAGGTGACCGTTACCCTGGACAGTTCACAACAACAATTTTCAGGGTAACACAATGTTGCAGCATTGTTTCGGATAGCTGCAACATTGTTCCAACATTGCAACATGGTGCTCCGCTAAAAATCGTCTTTGCAAATTGTCCCGTTTAACATCACCTTTGTGGCTTAAATTTACATTTCAAGGGCTTGGTTTCTGGGATTTTCTTGTCTTTGAGGGGAACTAAGCAGATGTGAGTGTATGTGTTCAATATTGATGTTAATTTTCTTGTTATTTGCAGACATTGACGAGGAAGCAAAAGATTCCAGAGTGGAGGTCAAAACATTTGACAAAAGCAAGTTAAAACATGTGGACACCAAAGAAGAAAACACGCTCCCTGGAGCCGGAGGTGAAACATCAAATTTCTCTGTTTCCTACTGAAATTAACACTAAACTATCATAGTTAGATGTAATGAAGGGGACACTTGACAGATCCTACCGTGTGCCACAAACAAGTGTGTCTGTGAGCCAGCACCAAAATCCTAGCTCTGAGCCCGCACTTGTGTATCAGGATTTGAGTATTTGCCATGAATGGCCTGTTAAAAAAACCATTGTCAATTTGCCAATCAGGGTTAAGGCAAATACCCAAAGGATAATTAAATTTAAACCAAGAATGAAATTGAACAGTGACGTATTAATCAAAATATGTTATTTCCGAAGTGTGGACTCCTAATGAAGTGTGATAAGTAATGCCAAAGTTATTTCTTGTTTAATGGGTTGTGTTTGAGTAGGTGAACAGAAAAAAACTGAACTCACAGACTGTTGTTCTAATAATTCAATCATTTTTGTCAGATATTCGTGCAGAAATGATGCCAGATGTGCTTCCTGACCGCTCAGAAGTTAGCAAGTTTGATCACTCAAAGCT